TTGATTTAGAGGGATTAAGCAACTTGGAATACCACATGGCTAGTAAGTGACACGTATTCTCAGAGGTGTCTTTTGTAAATATTTTCTCCAAGACTGTGACCTTTTCATTCTCTTGATCCCTCCAGCTTTTTATTTAGGAAATTTTCAAACTTATGGAAAAAAATACAAAAATAGTAAAATAAGCCCCCACTCATTCTTCATATACAGCCACCAGTTGTTAATGTTTTGCCACATTTGCTTTATACACATTTGCTGCAGTACAATACCAAGCAATACCATGTGGCTAGTAAGTGACAGAGCTGGGTTTTAGCCCTGACACTTTGATTCTGCACATTTCATCCTTCTATGAGATGCCACTAAAAAAGATACTGCATATCATCTCATCTCAAATGCTGTGTTCAGGCAGAGGATGTGCTGCGGAAATGCTGGTTTTGATGTCCTTAGCAAACTACTGATCTATTTTCAAGATTTATATCTCAAAACAGTGATACCAGTGAGAAGTCCACCCTTGTTAATCCATCAAATGTCCCGGTTTTAGGTCATATTTGAGGGAACCTAATTTTGGCAACTTCAGGGTCTCTCCTGCTGTTTGGGAGCTCAGCATCCTTCACTCTGGACTCTGACTTGCTTCACTTTAGAATGAAAGCTTTTTAGGATACAAGCTCAAGGAGCAGGATGACTGAAAGAAAAATCTTTCTTCTCCAAAGTAGTTTATGGGGAAGCTAGTAAATTAATTGCCATTATATCTTGCCACTAAAGGATGCATTCTTATGGTAGTGATAGATGGACAGTAGTGCTGTGCAGACCTCCAACAAACTGCCTTTTCTGGGGTCAAAAGAATCTGAATTAAACTCTACTTGAGTTATAGCTCTGTGACAACCTGCAGGCACTCATAATAAATAAGAACACCAGGCCAGGCACTGTGGCTCATGCCTGTAACCCTAACACATTGGGAGGCCGAGGGGGGTGGACTGCTTGAGCCCAGGATTTCAAGACCATCCTAGACAATATGGCAAAACCCCATCTCAACAAAAAAATACAAAAATTAGCCAGAGGTGGTGACCCATTCTTGTAGTCTCAGCTATTCAGGAGCCTAAGGTGGGAGAATCGCTTGAGCCCTGGGAGGTCAAGGCTGTAGTGAGCCATGATTGCACCACTGCATTCCAGCCTGGGTGACAGAGTGAGACAAATGGGTCAGGAAGAAACAAAACGTCAACACTGAACTGGAATGTCCCTGACACATCGTAAAAAGAGAACCCTCAAATGGACAATAAATGGATAGTGCTAGTTGTAATACTGTACCTTTTAAAATAACCTTTAAGAAATCTCTTTAAGTATTCATTTTTTGTATTTTACGATAATGCTCGATCTTGCTCTTATTATAGCTGAATCGCCCTTCTAAAAGATGATTTGATTATGTTTGACCTCTTCCCCAAGGAACTAAAGAGGGAAGTTCTTGGCTTTTTATAGTATAAGGCCCCTAGAGGTTTTCATTTTGGGGATTTAAAAACAAGTTTCCTGTATTTATATGACAAAAAAAGAAAAAGAAAACCTAAAGGGCAACATAGAAAAATTATAATGTTTGGAGCATGATAATTTCGTTGTTTTTAAAACTCCATTCTTAAAAATGTCTTATAATTCATGAGTTAAACTTTAAAGTGTTTAGAGGAAGGGGAACAGGTTTATGAGCCTCTGACCTGGGAATGGAGTGGGAGGAATAGAGAAGGTGGGGTTGCAGGAGGAGAAAAGAGAATTTCCTACAGTGTTCCTGTTTTTGTTGATGGTTAGTAATTAATGAGACAAGCTGTTCTGTTTCTCTGGGAGGCTGAACTGTCTTGAAGAAAAAAAAAAGAAAATTTATTGCAACCCAATGCAGCTTCAGATTTTTCCTCTTTTTTTTCAATTAAAAAATAAACTGTCCCTAATTTAGGAATTGAAATTCTAAAACCTCCCCATTCACCTGTTTAGGAAGAAATGAAATGGAACTTTAACCTCTACATTTCTTGGGTATAATATCAAAACTTTAATGCCATGGAGACGAATATGCAAGCAAATGAAACCCTAGCTCCCTATAATGTTGGAAAAATCTAACTTGAAGCCAGACATTTGGTTTGGATCTTGGCACTTTCTTATATGGAAATATTCCAAGAAGGTCCATTGACTTTTGATTTGATCTAGAAAATTGTTTTTTTTTTTTTTAAGAGCCCACCCAAGATGGCACCTCATAGACTAGCCACGGAGTTTTCCATCAATACTAGAAAATAATTTCATCTAATCTCTAGACCAGGGGTGACCCAGACTCCAGGTCAACTTCCTCAGGGTTATTTGTTAATTTACCCAATCATTCATTCACTCAGCAAACACTTATCAATCATTTGCTACGTATATGGCAGACACTACACTAGATTTTGCAAGCACAGAGATACACAATCTTTTTTTCCCTTGCTTGCAGGAAAACCTTTGGTTTCAATAAGTGACGGGGAAGGGTTGCAGGGGTACTACGAAAGTTCGAAGGAAGTGTCTAACTCAAGGTGGTAGGGGATGGGGCTGAGCAGGAGAAGGGCCAGGAAGGTGTTGGATAGCAGGAGGCTTTTAGCTGAGCCTTCAAAAGGCAAGGGGAAGTTGGCCGCTTTGATGGGGTGGGCTAAGGACTATCCGTGCAGAAGAAGGAGCAGGTATTAAAGGTGCCAGAGCATGCAGTCAGCTCCTTTAGGAACTACACATAATGAAGAATGGCTGAGGCCTGTTGTATGGGATTGGGCTGGGAAACCCAAGGCAGGAAGAAGACAGATCCCGCGAGGTCTGGTGTGCCTGCTGAGGGGTTTGGGCACTGTCGCGATGCCATAGCGAGCCAGTGCAGGAAAAGCAGTGGAGCCATGGGATCCGGGTCACATTTGATCAGTCACCCAAACAAAGGAAAGTTTACTCAACAGCATGCTTCATTTGGACTCCATTTTGTCAAAGCATGGCAGTGATGTCAGAAATAGAAATGAGTGTCTTTACTGCACACCACCATACCCAGCTAATTCTTGTACTTTTTGCAGAGAACTCCTGACCTCGAATGATCCCCCTACCTCAGCCTCCCAAAATGCTGGGATTACAGGCGTGAGCCACCACGTCCAGCCTAAAATGCATTTTCTAAGCTTTCTTTATTTCTGGGTCACCTCCACAAAATTTTATGGTTCTGGGAACCCCTATGTGAAAAAGCATAGGTATCAGCTGTAAGTATACTGAACATTCACTAGAGGAAAAAGTAATTTTGGTTTGAGTTGGTTGTAGAAGCAATGTCATATGGAAAGGGCTAGACTATCCTGCAGAAATAGAGGACCCACAAATTGCTATTTTATAACAGAAAAATAAAGATTTAGATCTCACTCATATGTCCGTTATTGAGCAGTTGTGGTTCTGCTCCCGGTCACCTTCCCTCCAGGACCCAAGCTGACAGAGCACCCTCTATCCAATCATTGCCTGTCTTGTGTCAGAGGGAAAAGAGACGGTAAATCATGCATTGGCCCTTAAAGCTCTGCCAAGAAGTGGTACATATCATTTCTGCCCACATTTCACTGGCCAGAGCAAGTCGCATGATATGGCTGAGTTCATCAGGACACCAGATGTTGGGCCACCAGTAATATAGCCCACCACTGAGGTCTTTACTAAGAAGGTGACCTGGACCTTGGGAAATGGCCATGATTTACCTGGTAGACACAGCAGGAGAGCAAAAGAAAAATATGGCAACATTGTTATGAAATCCAGACTTGGCCACATGAAACATTTTTTTTTTTTTTTTTTTTTTTTTTTTGAGACTGAGTCTCACTCTGTCACCCAGGCTGGAGTGCAATGGTGGAATCTCGGCTCACTGCCACCTCTGCTTCTCAGGTTCAACTGATTCTCCTGCCTCAGTCTCCCAAATAGCTGGAATTACAGGTGACTGTGACCATGCTCAGCTAATTTTTGTATTTTTAGTAGAGTCCGGGTTTCACCATGTTGGCCAGCTGGTCTCAAACTTCTGATCTCAAGTGATCCATCCTCCTCAGCCTTCCAGAGTGCTGGGATTACAGGTGTGAGCCACCACACCCAGCTGTGAAAACCTTAGAAAACTGACTTCAAGGAAAATGCTTCACAGTGACAAATCTTAGGATGCCACTTTATAGAAATATTCTGAAGAGAGAAAAACCCAGGTGAGTCAGAGCAGCCTGGGGAAGCTTCTTAAAACCGGGATTCTGTGGAATTCAGAGAATTTTAAAAGGCAGAAAATCCAGTGAGGCCATAAAATAAGCTAAAACAACATAAATAAGATGGGGCTGTGCCTAGGGTACTAGTGTGCAGAAAGGAACCCACCTCCTGTGGGAGCATTTGTGTTGGCAGATAGTGGGACATTCGGGTGGAGGATAGGTGATGGAGGACCCTGAATGCCCAGGGGAAGAATTTGGATGTAATGTGCCAATATTTATCAAGAAAAAGAAGTTGCCGGGCACAGTGGCTCATGCCTATAATCCCAGCGCTTTGGAAGGCCGAGGTGGGCGGATCACCTGAGTTCGCAAGTTTGAGACCACCCTGACCAACATGGAGAAACCCCATCTCAACTAAAAATACAAAATTAGCCAGGTGTGGTGCCTGCCTGTAGTCCCAGCTACTTGGAAGAGTGAGGCAGGAGAACTGCTTGAACCCAGCAGGCAGAGATTGCAGTGAGCTGAGATCGCACCGTCTCAAAAAAAACAAAAAACCAAAAGCAGTCTTGGGGATACATCAACAATTTTTGAAATGTTACAGTAGTTAATTGAACATCTACTATGTAACAGGCACTGTTAGATTATCAGTGAACAAAACCAGCAGCCTGAACAAAATGGTGAACACAACATGCAGTGCCCTTGTGGGTTACATTTTGGTTGAGACAGATACCATATAGGTAAACAAATATACAATCTCAAAGAGTAAAAAAGTTGTGAAGAAAGATGACACAGGATTAGAGAGTGACTAGGGTGTATATGGTGACAGTGGTGATGGTGGTGCAGCCAGGGGGTGGGGTGGATGACAAGACAGCTGTGGTGACTGGTGAGCATGAGGTGGTCCCTGGTAACAACCAGGGCTCCACGCCCTACCCTCAGAGCACCATCCCAGGGTTAGCATACTCCACTGAGCAAAGCTTCCTTGGCCAGGTGATCAATTAATTAGAAGAGCCAGGAATGCTGGGCCCAAAGAGATAAGCCAGAGAGAAAATGCAGGGGACATGGATCCCAGATCCACGTAGAACCCCTGGGGACCGCTGAGTCCCACAACCTCAACAGGGCCCAGGGTTATACTCACAGAGCAGGTGGCCTCATTTCAGACCCCCCTCATGTTAGAACTCATTGTGCAATGGGAAATTCCTCACAGCAGAAGCTGGAGTCAAATGCCTGCCTATTTCTCATTTCATGTTGGGATGCCTCCTGTGTTCCTCTCACTCCCATGTTAAACTGAATTACAAAATTCATGGTTCTAAGTAGATTTTAGAATTGACCTAGGCAGAAGAAACAGCCCAGCCCCTTCATTACTTCAGAGCAGAATAGAGCCCTCACTCTTATCACAGTCGCAGAAGGCCCCTGGGACACCTGACTCCCCGAGACTCTTTCTTGGCAGGTTTCCCTGTCCATAAACAAGGTCAGGAATTCCCTGCCCACTACACAGAGTATGACAATTAAGCTTCATTGGGACCCTGTGGCTGACCTTGGGTGAGCTGGGGGCATCACATCTGTACAGGCTCTAGGCTTGCCGAGTTCAGAAACAGACTGGCTGTTCATGTGGACTGGCCCAAACCTGAAACTCTACAGAAATTCCAGTGTCTGCATGCTAGGTGGTTAGCCATGAAAAAAGTTGTGTCCTCCAAAGACAGGGTGTGTATGGTGCAGATGGATTTCATCCACGTCTTTCCTTTCCTTGCCACTTCATCTACCCTACTTTCTTTTTTCTTTTTTAGCCAGTTTTTTTTTTTTTTTTTTTAAGTTCAGGGATATATAATGTGCATGTTTGTTACATAGATATACATGGCCCATGGTGGTTTGCTGCACCTTATCAACCCTTCATCTAGGTTTTAAGCTCCACATGCATTTGGCATTTGTCCTAATGCTCTCCCTCCCCTTGCCCTCTCCCTCCCCTCCACCCCCCAGCAGGCCCCAGTGTGTGATGTGCCCCTCCCTGTGTCCATGTGTTCCCATTGTTTAACTTCCACTTGTGAGAGAGAACATGCCTACCCTACTTTCTTAGCCTGTTTGCCGACTTGCATGCAAACTGAGTGCAGGGAGAACACCTAGCAGCCTGACCCCAGAAGGGCAGCTACTCCAGATTCCACAGCTCTGGGGAAAACAGAGTGACTAAAGCTCATCTGTAGTCCTTAAATGGAGAGCAATTTGGGACAGTACCAGCTGATCAAACAAAACCAAGGGAGCAGACAATAGCCATCACTTCTCAAACCATCCTCATTGTGCCCCTCGACTCCCTCCTTCCATTTTCAGTACTACATAGAGGGGAGAAAGACAATCACCTCAACGACAGAAGTCAGTACACAGCAAGTTTGCTTCACACGCTCACGTTTCTTTTGTTTTTCTTTGACTTATTTTTGATGTTTTTCGTTTTCCATCTCTGAGGTGATTAGCAGTGCACCCTAGTGGTCAAGAACAGAGCAGGGACTCCATGGATAGACCACCCGGTCCTGACCCTTGTTACAGTGGTTCTTAAGCTTTCAGGTGACTGGAAATCACCTGGAGAGCTTATTAAAACACAGCTCACCAGCCACATATGGTGGCTCATGCCTGTAATCTCAGCACTTTGGGAGGCCCAGCACTTGGGCAGATCACTTGAGATCAAGCATTCGAGACCAACCTGGCCAACATGGCGAAACCCCATCTCTACTAAAAATACAAAAATTAGCCGATGTACCTCTGTAGTCCCAGCTACTCTGGAGTCTAAGGCATGAGAATCATTTGAACCCAGGAAGTGGAGACTGTAATGCGCCGGGATTGCTCCACTGCACTCCAGCCTGGGGGACAAAGCAACACAGTGAGACTCTGCCTCAATAAAAAAAAAAACAAAAGAACACAGATTACTGCTCCCCAACCCCAGAGTTCCTCATTCAGCGCATCCAGGGTGGAATGCAAGGATGTGGATTTCTAACAAGTTCCCAGGTGATGCTGATACTCTTGGTCCTGTGACCACACTTGGAGAACCTCTGCCTTATGAAGTTACCAAAACTGTTGACTTGTGTGAAAGAATAGCCCTATCCCTAACCACTTGTGGCTATTAGGGTTAAATGAGTGAATATAGGTAAAATGCTTTGAGCTGTGAATAATACAATGCAAGCATAACTAGTATGGAAACTTCGCCCATGCCTTTTGTCCCTGTTTTGTTAACCTCCATTTGTTTTGTTTGTAATAAACCACTTAGCCAGGTACCTCTTCCTCTCCTTCAAATCCAGAAGGTGTGTGAACTTTGGAGATTGTTTAAACTGACCTAAATCATATGTGATTTTCAACTCTTCGGTGGGTTCACTCATTATTGAATGTGGGCTCTGCATGCTGTATGTGATAAACTTCTTGTGTGGGGGGGATAGTGGGAATGTGCATATGTGAAATTGACGTCAGATCTTTGGATGATTGCTAGGGAAGGTAAAAGGAACTCACACTACAGTGCAGGCTTACAGCAGCCTTGCCAGTAGGGCTGTTACTCCCACTACTAGAGGAAACTGAAACTCAGTTCATTGAGGAAGCTCTCTCAAGCTTTTACTTAGGTCAAAGGTGACTTGTAAGGATACACAGAGAAACATGCAAGCCTGGGAAACCAGCTGATCTATTACTCTGTGTACCAGAACTTTATGTATCAGACCAAAGACACAACAAACCTCATAAAAAACTGGAATGTGCTTCACATCACTGCAGCTTTGCCCCAGTGATGGGGCCACCCACGTCTCTGCTTCTCCCTAGGCATGTTTCTCTCATTGAGACTCTCCACATAGAGATAGTCTGATGGAGTTGTGACATTAACACCCAGTGTGGAATGTCCTGGAAGGGTAGCCTCAGATTCAGTTGTCTTGCCTGTAATCAGTCATAGCCAGGAAGCAAGCCCAGTCTTGCTGCAGGTGTAAACCATAGCAACTCAATGCTAAAAGAACTGCCTAGGAACTTTTTCCCCACAATGGGGTTGGCTTTGGCCTGTCTAGTACTTTCAGGGACACTGAGGCAGCCCTAGGTCCTCAGAAGAGCACAGATTTTGGAGTCAGACAGACTTGGATTTGAACTCTGCTTCAGTCACTTAAGTTTCCTCAAATATACATTGTGGCTATCACACACCTCACAGGTGTTGTGAAGATCAAATAATGTAAAGTGCATAGCAGAGTGCCTGGCTCGTATCTGCACTTAATGAATGATAGGGTTTGGTATTTCTTTAATTTAAAAAACTAGAAATATGAAAAGGTGAAAATAATTACTCAACTTTATCATCCTGTCATTTAGCCTGTTATCCCTGACAGTGTGCCATTTTCAATCCTGTAGGGATGCATTTGTATTGTTAATAATTTTTTAAGTGATCAGTCTCGTTCTGTCTCCCAGGCTTGGGTGCAGTGGCACAATCATAGTTCACTGTAACCTCCACCTCCTGGGATCAAGGGATCCTTCCACCTCAGCCTCCTGAGTACTTAGGATTACAGACACATGCCACCATACCCAGTTAATTTTTAAAGTTTTTGTAGAGATGGCATCACACTATGTTGCTCAGGCTGGTCTCAAACTCCTGGCCTCAAATGATCTTTCCACCTCAGCATTCCAAAGTACTGGGATTACAGGCATGAGCCACCATGCCTGTCTTCATCCATTATTTAATTTAGGCTTTATATGCTACAAAGCTATAGGTTTTTAATAGGAAGTCTGTTTTACATAGTTGTAATTATATAATTTTGCATTCTTTTTCCATATTACAAAATATTTTAATGTTATAAATTCTGTATGTAATTTTAGTGAACATGCTATAATTTATATAAAATTACTTATCATTGTACACCAAATAGAGACAACCAATAGAGAACTGGTTGAATAAATGGTAGTGCATTCACATAATAAAATATGAATTAGCCATTTACAAAGATGGATTAGGGCTGGGTGTGGTGGCTCACACCTTTAATCCCAGCACTTTGGCAGGCCGAAGTGGGCAGATCATGAGGTCAAGAGATTGAGACCATCCTAGGCAACATGGTGAAACACTGTCTCTACTAAAAATACAAAAAATTAGCTGGGCGTGGTGGCAGGCACCTGTAATCCCAGCTACTCAGGAGGCTGAGACAGGAGAATTGCAAGAACCTAGGAGATGGAGGTTGCAGTGAGCTGAGATAGCGCCATTGCACTCCAGCCTGGTGACAGAGTGAGACTCTGTTTCAAATAAAAAAAAAGAGATAGAAGTATATTTTTTAACACAGAAACATGTTCACAATTATATGTAAAATGAAATGGTTGTACTTAAATATCAACTACCTCTCAAATCTGTCTGGATATTTTCCTACCTCAGTCTCAGCAACTTTCAAACTTTAATGAGGCTCCAATCACAAAGGTACTTGTTAAATGCCAGTTTCAGGCTTTACCCCAAGAATTTGATTGAGGCTGGGGCTCAGGAATTGGCATTTTTACAAGGATCCCAGGTGCCTCTGATGTGGAAAAGCTACCTCGCCCATTTCTGCCTGTTGAAGCTATACTTAATTTTCCAGCCTTCTCCTCCTGCTTTCTCCTGAACTCCTGTAGTACTCATAGCACTTGTCTGCTTTCTTGTCTTAGAGATCTTAGCAAACACTTCTAAATTGTAAAACTTTTCCTGATCCTTCAAGCAAGCCTAGTTGCACACCCATGCCATAGCCCCAGGATTTGTGTCAAACCCTGCGTGACTTCCTGAATAGAGATACTGAAGTATCCGGAATCCAAACTTCATTTCCTTTGCGGTGGAGAGAGAAAGGCTGAGTACTTCAGAGCTCTTTAGCACACCTGTTACAGCAGGAACTTTTGGGAATAAAGGTAGTCTTTTTAACCTTGATTTACAACAAAAACAAAACCTTGTTTAGATTACTTTTACTTACCTTGACAGTCAGGTTGTGAAAAGTAAATAGTTTGTCCTTTGTGTATTTACTCTGGTCTAGGCCAGAGACAGCCAGTAAGTTGGAGAGGGCAGTTAAAACCCTTCTAGAGGCCTGTCATTCCAAAGAATAGTTTTCTTCCCGTCTGTTGGTTGATTTTCATTCTCAGACTATGTCACTGAGTTGTTTAAGGTAAGATTCTCATCTTGCAGTTCACTTAGCGGCCACTCGTGCTAAAATTTAGATTGAGTTACGCATCAAAGGACTTCTTCACTTAGATTTTATCAGTGTGATTTCCCTGCTTCCTTAAACTAAATAATATTGGATATCCATATCAAGTCAGTCTTTTGTCATCTACGTTATTTTTCACGTAACAGGCCAGCTGTTGCAGATGCATGCTTATAAATAACTATTGCTAAATATTATGTTGAGATGATACTGAATTTTTTTCCTTGCTTGTAAGAGGACTAGACCATATTCTGTACAAATAGTTAACACAGAAGAATTCCTCGGAAACAAACCTTTAAAAGCCAGGTATAATAGCTCACTTATGCAAAGTTCCTTGTTTCATATGAAAATGATAACTTTGTAGAAGTAAAGCCTCACACAACAAGACTTGACAGTGTTGGGGAATGGAAGATTCTGGTTAATCTAATGCTTCCAATGGGGAATCACCAGATGGAGTACACTCGTCCACATGGCAAACTCAGAATCACTCTTCAGAACCTTCTGTAGAGGCGTCATCTGTAAAACCCTACATCCATAAAGCTTTTCATCAGCCCCTCCTTGAAAAAAATTAACGATTTTTTTATTCTATACCCACACAGTTCACTACACACACATCTATGATATGTCACACTCTAGTATATGTTTGTGTGTTGCTATTCTCTGATAGATCAGAAATTCATTGGGCATTGAGCATGTGGCTTATTTGTGCAGCCTAACCCAGGTTCAATGCCTGGATATAGTATTCATCAAATAGATGTATGAATAAGAATTCTGCACTGAACAGGGGACATAAATCATATAGACTACATTTTGTGGGTGTTTTCTGAGAAGTCCTGGAGTTACAAAATTTAGAGTATCACCTTATCATGACAAATTTCCATACAATACGGTTATAATAAATTATCAATAAATGTTGAAAATAACAAGTCCAGTATTTGGTTTTCCCTGAGTCCCTGATGGCAACTTCATGCTCCCCAGTCTGTGCAACTACTGATTTAAGGAGCTAGATCTGAAATTCTGCAGAAACCTGCTCAACATTAGCCCATTGGTTGCTGTTAAATTCCTCTCCTGGGCTCTTAAATTCCTTCGAGGCTAAATTATTACAGATATTTAAACTTTGTACATACATGATGGATAGCAAACATTCCCACATCTCTAATGTAAGTATATTAAAAGTGCCAGACAATTTTTAAATTGAAAGTGACTTCTTCATTTTTACTGGTTAGGAAACCAAGCCTCTTGGGAGTTTTTGTTAGGGGGAGGAGCGCTAGAATTGAAGTCAAATAGACCAGAGTTCGGTTACTGGCTCAGGGGCTCAAATCATTGCCTCTAATTGGAGGTGTGATCATAAGCCCTTTACTTAATATTTTTGAAGATCGGTTTTTTCTTTTGTAAAGTTTTGTTAATAATCCATCTCAGTGGGTCATGACAAGGGGTTACTTGAGATTACCTGAGCCAGAGCAGCACAAGTAATATCTGCACAAAACAAATCCTCAGTGAGCTTTCATCTCTGCCCTTTTTTGCCCAAATCACACAGAACTAAGACTTAGACACTTTCTTTGGGTTGTGGTTCCCACTTTACCTGACGGGACTCACACATATTGAGGATGCTTACAAGGGGCTGTGTCACATCAGCATTTAAATAGAGAATTCAGGATCTCCTACGTGTAAAACCATCTCCCCTTTGAGTTACTTTCATTGCTGTTGTTTTTTCTCTTTCCTTACACTTCAAGTTATGACATCATCCCAGTCAACCATCGACTATAATTTAACTTTGTATAATTGTGTGAATTAGCAGATCCTAGGAGTCTCCAGGATCTCAGAGCATAGTATATACACATTTTAGAAAAATAAGATCTGCATCGCCTAGTAAGTCTTCAGCTTTTAAAAATCACATTCTAAAATAATAAGTGAAATATTTGTGCTGAATTGAAGGGGTTTCCATAAATTCTGGCAGTAAACGAAGAGTGTGTTAAGCACAGAGATGTTGGTCATAAAAACTTAAGTCACCGTGAAACAGTCAAGGGATCAGGTGGGGGAAGCAGCATCCTGTTTCCTGTTTTTATTCTCCCAGAATTCATTTGTCATTTAAAAAGCCAATTTACTTTTCCTTCTTTTCTTTCCTGTAAAGGTAGAAACCTGTGGGTTCTTGTTGTGGGGCGGTCTCCAAAGGAACACAGAATTGGGATTCCGGAGTTCAAATATGTGGCGAATATGCATGGAGATGAGGTATGTATGTGGCTTGAATTTCTGAAATTTCACCAGAGAAGCTTCCCCTAGGGTCTCATGAGCTCTGTGTAAATGCTACAGAGGAAGCTTGGAGAAGTCTCCAGCATGCATTGTAGCAAAGAAGCAAGGCCCGGAGAGGTCTTCCTGTGAGGCCTGTGGGAAGTTAAGGAATCAGGGTCCAACAACCACCACAGCTGTGTGGCTGTGCACCCAGCGCCCTGTCAGAGTAACCGGAGCTTCGGAAGAAGAACAGTTCCCCAGCCCTGAGCTTCTACCTGCCAATCCCTGCATCTCCTTTCTGGGTTGAGTTTTCCCACCTCCTGGTCAGCATGAAGCTGACCCAGTGAAGGGGTTGTTTTTATCTGAGCGCACAACTATCAGAAACTCCCAAATAGCTACCCAAATTCCTGTGATCTGGCTTTTCAAATGCTTTTGTTAACTCTCTCTCAAATCGATTACTCAGTGTCTTTGGTGCTCCAGTTTAGACAGTCACATTTAGGATTCTCTCCTACCCACATTTCAACAAACACTTGGCCGGGTAGAGTGGCTCATGACTATAATCCCAACACTTTGGGAGGCCAAGGCAGACAGATCACTTGAGGTCAGGAGTTTGAGACCAGCCTGGCCAACATGGTGAAACCCTGTCTCTACTAAAAATGGAAAAAATTAGCCAGGTGTAGTGGTGCACACCTGTAATTCAGCTACTTGGGAGGCTGAGGCAAGAGAGAATCGCTTGAATCCAGGAGGTCGAGGCTGCAGTGAGCCAAGATTGTGCCACAGCACTACAGCCTGGGAGACAGAGTCAGACTCCCCACTCTTAAATTCCTTAATAATATCTTGCCTCTTTTCCAACTTAGGAGGGATAAACTCTACTTTTATTTTTAGGTTTTGTAAAATATCATTTACCACTGTTACCTACCCAGCCATTCTTGCCAGGCAGTTGAAGATGTTCACCTTTGTTTCTTACCTTGCTTCCTCAGACTATTTTGAGACCATGACAACCAAAGTATTTTCTGTTTACCAGGACTCTATAAAACTGAGGAATCAAAGAGTTCCCAGCCATTACAGTAAGGAAATTTTGCATAGGAATATGAGTATTACCCTGTAAAACACAACTTGTAACTTTAGGGACTTTCTAATTTACATGTGTATTCCGATAAGTACTACCTGGTGACTTGTTAAAACTCTTCTGAATTTGCAATAGTATGGCTGGCATGCTCTAATCAGTGCTGAGCTTCCTCTTCTGGCATAGCCCTCCCCAGACTCTACAGGAACTGGATCCACCCTTCATGATACACTCTGCCTGCCCTTGCCAGGCATGCTGCCCAACCTGTCCTGCTGAGAGAGGATACTTCTTGCAGCTAAGATGCAAGCACCTGCCTCAAACAAAGTAATAAGTCTTTGAACCCGATTTTGGGGTGGGTGCAAGTTTAGTCCATCTGTGACTTTTTGAGCATAATGGGCAATTTCTTTAAAAAAGACTACATTGCAAGGAGTCTGACCAAAGTTGGTTTTAATAAAACAGCTGTTCATTACAGACAGCAGCTCAGACTGCCTTTTCCTTTTGCTATCTAGTCTATTGATCAAGGTGCCCCAGAATGTATTTTTTTGTTGTTGTTTTTTGGTTTTTGGTTTTTTTGAGACAGAGTTTCCCTCTTGTTTCCCAGGCGGGAGTGCAATGGCATGATCTCGGCTCTGCAACCTCCACCTACAAGGTTCAAGCGATTGTCCTACCTCCACCTCCTGAGTGGCTGGGACTATAGGTGTAAGCCACTACTGCCGGCTAAT